ATGATAATTTACATGCTGCGACTAACTAAAATTTGTACAGTTAATATTATAAAGTGTTAAATGAACCATTGCATTTGGTTCTAACATGTTAACTAAATATGACTAAGCCTTTAAAACGCTTTAGATTTAACTTTAAATCTAAAGCCTTTAAATAATGATGATCTGTTAAAGCCTTTAAAGCTTTAACAGATCATCATTATTTATTGTTATTTTTAGATTTAAAAAAATATTTCTGTTTTCCTGTCACCAAATGTGATTGGGAAAATGGTAAACGACATCTCTCCTAGATGAACGATTTATACAAATGTATTATTATTAACATTTGAATATTCGGTATGCGAAGGAAGTCTGGCCAATAATGAATGGATACAATTATATTTATGTAAGACGTTTTATATTATGTAAAATGGTCTTTTTATTTGAGTATTAGCCTACATTTTTTTTAAAAACTCTTTCCATTCTGTAGGCATTAAGAGGGCAGTATCATTACATTAAAAATTCTATTTAAATTTTCTATTTACAGTACTGTTAATTGCTTCATATCTTTAACATTGCTTATTGTTTAGAATTTTCTAAAAAGGTTTTAAGTACAGTATTTATTATACTCAACATTGTATATTTTACTTTTATTCTATTTACATATATACAAAAAAATATATAGATCACAACTAACAGAGAGAAAACAGCTCTTTTTCACATATCCAGTATTTTAGTTGTACTGTATAGTACATAGGTAAGTAATCATTTAATAAAACATTTCTAATAGTTTATTTTAATATACAATAGTACTGTAAAATTGTTTAATTTAATAGACCTACAGTATATTCAATAGTTGATTTCATAATGCAATTAGTTTATAAAAAGTACGATTTTGACTGACTTTTAATTTAAATTTTAGAATTATAAATCGATGTTTATTTCAAGTTATCTTAGTCTGTTTATAATATCATGAGTATACAGAAACCTATCAGTGCTGTACAGTACAGTACATATTATCTTTATTTAAAAGGTTATGGGAAAATATTAGCAGAGATTTCACTATCAAATCATCATATTTTAACCCTAAGACAACTTTAATAAACTGGTTCATTAAATATCTGTCACTTATTGAATATGTAAGCAGAAGGCAAATCCGAGTTCTACTGCATACTTCATTTTTGATTAAATAGTTCAGCGGTTCCCACAATCTCAACCTGTCTTGATTTGCGTACCCTTGGCAGCCCATTTTCCTAACTGGGCTGCAATTAAAAAAAATTGTAGACCCACAAATTCCCATTGTCGTCCGTCGGTCCGTCAGTCTGTCTTTCTTTCCTTAACCTCGAGAACAGTTAGGCAGATGAAATTCGAGGCCGGATATGGAAAGCTTAGGGGCAGGAGACCCCGAATAACTATATATGAACTTCCGATGCAAACCGAAAGTCATGTTATTTCAATTTAAAAATTTTCTCTTGTAAGGTGACTTTGTTGCTAACAGGAAAAGTATGATGTACAGGGGCAACACACTATTAATTTGTGATGGAGATCATATATTTTAAATTAAATAAATTTAAAAAATATGATTAAAAATTGAGCTAGTTTTATTTCCCATTTTTTAAAAGTTTTATATCACGTTAAACAATGACGCCTTGATTAATTATACAGTGCTGCATATGTAAGAAAAGTTTTTTAATCGAAAAACGTTAGAGGAAAATAAATATAATAAAATTATAATTATATTTTTATTTAAAACTAAGTACCGAGTACTATGACGTCGCCAAAAGCCTCAACGCAGAATCCGAATATTCTTATATTGCATCCACCATTATTAATTTTTTTATTTTTCGCATACCCCAAACTACCAATCGCTGGAATACAAGGTAGTTGAATTGTTTCAAATGTAATGTACTTTTATTATTTTGATACATCAATAAAACAAGCTAATTTAGAATGTACCCCGTTGAATATGCTCCTTACAAATTAGTAAATAGAACTTTAGAATTTTTAAAAATTTGTGAAAGCTGTCCGTAAAAATGTATAGATAAACAAAATATCCTGAATTATTTAAAAATATATAAAAAGTTATTAAATGTCATTTATGTAAAGCAACATTAAAAAAAATAATGATGATATTTATGCTCATCTCTTAAAGAACCTGGTTTACGATAGTAATTCATTCTAAGAGTAAGGTAGCTAATTTTAATTTTAATGTTAACAACCCCAATTTTTTAAATGTGAAATTTTGCTTTAGAATTCTGAGTGGTTTATACAAGTTTCTGAATAACAAATTGACAGCTGCACAGTATAAACTGCCAGTATAGCCTATTCTATCCACAGCATCCTTTAAATGTTCTATCGGATATAAACATCATCCTTTAAGTGTTTTATCGGAATTGACTCATCGATAAGTCAATTAGCAAGTCCAATGAAAGACATAAAAAAGTTTGGATTTCTGTTTTCATTTGTGTGATGAAAAGAAATCAATTATGTGTTTTAATTTTTAATACACGTGGATATTTAAAAAAAACGGCGGAGCATTCTGCAAATAAGGTCGATGCGATTAGTTTTAAGCGTTTCTGTTATACAAAAAATATTGAAAATTTAAAATATTTAAAGACGTGTTGAAAGTTTCAATATTTTATGAACATATCGCTGATCAGGCAGAAATCAAGTTGCGAATACGTGCATATCAGTACGTCCAATAAAAACAGTCCTCTTTAATTAAATTATCATCGCTGTAATTGTCTCCTTAGTTTGGTTGAAAGATCTCTGACTCTTTATATCAGATCATATTACAAATCATCTGAGGTCCTAAATCTGATTTAATTAGAAAACAATATTTTCACTAATCTCAAATCAGTTCCTTATATTATCCACTTCAATTTAAACGCGCTCCTCTTACAAGAAGACGCTAATGGATCACACATAATAATGAGTGACACAAAGAAGCTTTTCTGATCTAGTCATCGAGTTATAAAGTTAATTTGAAACAATACATTCTGCAAATGGTGCAAGTTATAAAGCTAAAAAGCTGATATCTCTGACATGTAGGCTAATATTTAAGACCCATCTCCGATTTTGTTTTTATGTGGTCTGCCATAATTTTGCCAATTATTATCGATTGCATATGATAGCTGTATTATCAGTGGTGTGTCAGGATTTTGAAAGACATAAAAAAGTTTGGATTTCTGTTTTCTTTTGTGTGATGAGAAGAAACCAATTATGTGTTTTAATTTTTAATACACGTGGATTTCAGAATACGGGTATTGCTCAGTTTAGGAGGAATAAAGCTCGTGCCCCTGTCGTTTTTCGGAGAATGTTATTCAATTACCTTACAATCATTTTAGTTAGTTAATTTTGTGTAATTAAAGTCAAGCGATATAAGTTATTATATTTTTAAAGTAACAAAACTGGTAAGCACCTCTTGCGTATTATTTAAATATTAAATTCGATAACCATAATACGAATTTGGAAACTTATCAAGGAATAAGACATGAACTTTATGTATGTACTGAACACTTATTTTTGTCATGTTTCTGTAGATTTTAATACGTAAATATTTTATTCATTAATATTATATTATATTGTTTTGTATTTTGTTAACAATAGTCGGTCAAAGAACTTTTGTCGAATAATATATAACTTACATCTCTTTCCTCTAAAAACAATCATTTATTTTAATAAAATTTTTTGATTAACGAATGTATTTTCTGTAAATATTTTTCTATTATTTTACAATAAGTTTGATTTATAAAACTTCAGATGTGATTTAGAAAACGTTATCAAAATGAAAGTGTTTTGAAGGATCCAGAAATATATTGCAAATATTCAATCGACGTATTAATTAAATTAGAATACCAAGAAACTAACGAAGTGTTGTAATAGTTAATTTTTTTTAAATGTTTAAAAAAGTGTAAATTTATTACGAAAATATTGAAATTTATGAAAATGCGATAAACGTAATTTTCCTCAATTTGTTTCAACACGTAATAAATTAATATCGTTAGTTTTTAACTTATTTAAAGTTTTTTCTAGTGTTTTTCTATCACAGCTTTTCAATAATAAAGAAAAAGTATGGCTTTCATGCAAAAAAAATTGATTGCGAGACTTTTACGAACCGACTTATTATATTAAAGATTTGAAAGGTATTGATTTTTCTCGAATCTCACTAAATATAACTACATTTTTAAGAAGTTGGCTTCTTATTTTCTAGGCTTATTAGCAAATTGGCTGTTAATTAACTTATTACACATGAAATCATTTATCATAAATATCTCTTTCTTAATTTTATAGGACACAGAGTATAGTAATTTAAAATATTCTGTTATTCAAAATCTTTATTGGCTACAAGATCCACAAGTGTCTGTTTATAATAAAAGAATGTTCGACCATCAAGAACAAGTTAAATTAAGAGTTCGACATGTGAAAGTTTATGGAAATTGAAAAACAATACGAAAAAATAATATTGATTGCTAAAGTTATTTAATTCTGTATTGTTTCTTTTATTACTCATCTAGTTCTTAATGTTGTTATATCTAAATAGAAGGGCACTTATAAAACTATTATTATCTGTATAATAATAGTCGGATGAATTTGATACGTTGGTATTTTTTTATCGACATTTATCCGCCGAATCGATCTTATGATTTAATACGTCACGTGGTAAATATCGATACGCGAAGAGAAATTCCCATTCAGATTACAAAAGAATGGAATTCGCCATTCGGCGCAAGCCGGAAAGAGTGGCGCGCGCCGATACACGCGCCGGCGCGGCTGGGAGTGCGGATTCCGGCGAATGAAATGCGCATGCGCCTCGGATGAAAGACCGGCCGGAGGAAGAGCGAAGCAGGCGGCCGGGACTGGACGTCGGCGACAGAAACGAGGGATAATCGTCCGGACAGAAACCATGATCCGGCGGAAGGACCAGCGAGGCCCGCAGCCGCTTCTTTTTCGTGCGACCGTCTCTGCTTGCTGAGCGGCTTCCGGACGCGGACGGCCGTTCGTAGGATGCGTGGAGACCGACCCGGACCCCGGTTAACCCGACTACTCTGATGTCTTCGAGGAAAGAAAGCGTTTCGTCCGGACAGGACAACGGAGCCGGCGTCAGGACCAAGAGGTTCTCCTTCGCCAAGCTTCCCGACATCCACTCCGAGCAGGACGGTAAGTCTATCTTCATCCTCTTCCGCACCGTCCTCCCGGACGGATCCAAAGGCACGGCGCCATTTTGGCGCCGGAGAAAGTCCGGTGCGCACTCATCTTCTCTTCCACCCTTTCTAGCCGAAACGGACACCTTGATTCCCACCGCCGAGTACCATTACTCTTCCACGCAGACCGGATGCGCGGGTGAGTTCCGCTTTCCGTCCGACGTCTAGTGCCGTTTTCCTCCCGCGTCGTGCCGGCCCGCCTTCCGACTCCGGAAATACCCCCGAAATAGGGGAAGCCCGCTCCGTCCGGCGCCGTCGTCCCATTTCTTCCTCCTCTCTCCATCGATCGCGGCGGAGGGTAGAAGAACGACGGTCTCGGGCATCGATATTCTCTCCACCCTGGGATTTATCGGTTCCACAGTTTTAGTCTTGTATAAAAATAAAAAATTCAACGAAAATCGGCCGAGTGGGAAGGACCGGGATGAACTTGTGATAATATATAAATGTATAGGCCTATATTAACAAACACCCGAAATTGCTTGGTATAGCGCGAATGTGGACTATTTATATTTGCATGTTATCGTTGTCGAGATTTCGGACCCTTTACGCAGAGCCAACTAAATGATTTTGATCGACGATACAGAGCTTGCAGCAGACTCTGACAGAAGGGTGGGAGCGTTTGGGAAGACGCCAACGGTACTGACCGATGATGCCAAGCAAGGGCTTTAAGGAGCAATCGGGGATGACCCAAATGACGTAATATCCGATGTTAAAACGACCGATGCGCGAAAAATTTCTGGGCTTTAAGCTATGAAAATCGAAATGTCCAAGTTATTTTTATGAGATGTGAAGAGGTAGCGAGTCCATTCGTAAACGTGTACAGTATTTACCTTAATTAAGGCAATCGTTACAGATTAAAAATATCTTTTATTCGGCAATTTCTGACTGAACTTTCACTTACGATTCTCGAATTCGGTCGTCTTAATATTTTTTATTCGCCATTCTTTACGCATTTAACGTTTCTTCCTTCCTTTTCGATTTTTAAAATATACGCTAATTTATTTATCATTTTAATTATTTAAGTTCTCGAATTTTTACTCGTATTTTTTTTCTTTTATTTTTCTTCTATCTAAAACTACATTTGACGACGATAAAAAGTGACGCATCCTCAGCGTCACAAGATAGTAGAGTAACATCTATATAAAAAAAAGTCGATAGGTATCACCTGCTATCAGTAAAGGTATCGTTCAATTACGAAGTGAAGAACCGTTTTAGCGAAAACTTTTTTCTTTTATAATTTTTTTATTAAAGTTTTATACAAAATTCAAGATAACTGTGCATAGAAATTTGATATAAAATTTTAAAACAAGAAAAGAATAGATATGCAAGCAAAAGCCTGAAACGTTTTTAAAAACTCTCAACAAAAGTATAGAGTAATGTCGACCAATAGAAATGTTTGTAAAGCGTGAAGAACGGAGAATACGGTTTTCCCCCTTGTCTGCGATTCGCTCGAATGGCTCATCTGGCGCGTCGAATTGTCGCCTGTATAGAATGAAATTCGGTAGGTCGGGCCAACGGAAGTCTAGCTTTACCGGAACCGAATCGAGACGTACGATTTGATTTCTGTCTCGCCACAATGGAATCCGAATGCGACGTTATTAATCATTACCTCCGATCGTTTTTCGACCAATCGTTTCGGATGAAAGGCGCCGTCATCCGAATTTTTAACAGATATGGCGACTGTGCCGTCATTCCCGTACCTTCCTCTTTTAAGTGCGGGTCAGTAATTCTCGGGAAAATAACTGGTGATGCAATAAATTATATGACGATTCTGTTTTATTTATTACAAATGAATCTATTTACTGGATTTAAAGATTTATAAACCTATTCATCTACCCGCTTATTAACGACACTCAAATAATTATCCGAATCCCAAATCGCTATTCGACGGCTGCGCACTGGCATAATACGGTTCCACCTGAGATGTCAGATTTCACTTTCTCTTTAACGTCTGTCTCCGTAATCATTATTCTTATTAATTTCTCTTTTCCACTTCTCAAACGGTTGTGATTTACTAACATCAAATGAATATTCCTAATTTGCTAGCTATCTACTTGTCCGTACACACTTACACTACGAAGAATACTGTAGAGAAATGAATTACACTTGCTTTATTTTATTTTTAATTAAAAAGAATTGAAATAGCAGCGATTCAAATGCTAATTATCCCTGAAATAAAATGAAGTGTTCGTTTCATTGTTATTTCATTCGTGTCGATTGGAAATTTCCGAAGTTTATTCAAACTGCATTGTTTGCGTGACTCTACATATGAACCGAATATAGTTATTGAAATTCTTGCTGCATCTAATTTGCTGTAAGAGTTTCATCTTTGAATATCCTGCGAAAATATTAATATAATCTGCATGTATAGCTTTGTCCTTTAAGCTTTTAAGGTAGTGAGTTTTAACATTTTTTTTAAATTTATTAATATTTTTTTAAAGTGCTTATTAAATTTGAAGTTTTATTTGATTTCTTGTAATATTCTGCGTCTAAACTTTATTTTAGCTTAAAATTATAAGATAAAAGACACAAGTTATATATACATAACGTAACATACAATATATGTATTTAAATATTTAGGGACATTTTCCTAATATATTTCATACGTATAATATAATTGTTAAAGAAATTAATTTTAGTAATTTCGTCTTATAATCAGAGAAAAAGGTAAAGAGCTATGTTAAGTACAGTACAGTTAAACTTCTAGACTAGGGGTGGGTAAACCGCGGCCCCCATTAATATTAAAAATATATCAATTTCCCAATTTAAGGGATGTATGCAGCAAAAATTCTGTTATTTTCTACAATTTATTAAAAATTTAGTAAAAAGTAAAACAAGAAATCGGCTAACAGACTCACATCAAAACTAAAACTAGAGGTAACTAATATTTAACCAAATATTTTTGATATATTACGTTCACATCAAAGTCAAATTAAGCGTGTTAATTTATAATCATATATGAATTGTGATTCACCCGCGTGTTTGTTTCTTTTTCTCGTGTGCGGCCCACATCAGTTCGAAAATTTTAAATGTACCCCTTACATAGAAAAAGCTTGCCCATCCCTAGACAATGGAAACATAAAAATGGCCATTGTTTAGAAGTTTTTGTATGCATTTTTGTTTAAAAAATTATTTAATACATTTTTGAAAATAGTCGCCGTTTGTTATTGGAGGTTTGACCACATAACTAAGGTATATAAATATTATATAGAATAGGTTTTTGGGCGTTTAAAGATTTATTTCCAGATTTAAGAGTTTAATACGTCTTCCTAAGTACTAAATCATAAATAAACAGTTGTTATCCAGGGCAAGATGAAACTCGATAAATTATACGGAACTTTTCTTAATTGGTCAGAGAAAATTGAATAACTTAATGAAATACTTGAAATTGTTAATATTTTATTTAAAAATGCTTCTGTATTTTAATAAAATAACAATAAGATTATTGTAGATAGTTAAAAGTGTATACAATAATTGTTACATAAGTTAATTTTGTTTGATGTAGGAAATTACCATGATTGCTGGCCTCATTCGTAACATTTTACGAATGAGGAAAACTCAAATTCCATCTAAAATATGCTCTCTTATATGCTTTCAGTAGTAAATTACGATTTTGATTTAATTTTTGTCGTTACCTACAGGAGAGGAAATGTTATTTCGAAGGAGAGAATTTGATAATAGAATTTGTAAATGCACAGTACAAGTAAGAGAAGAGTTGTTTTGAAAGAATGATTAAGGATAAACTGTTGCAATCTTTAATTAGTCATTTGCAGACTTTAAAGTGGATCCGATCTGAAGAGCAGTCGGTATTTATGAAAATAAAAACATAGCTAATTCTATTAATATGTATATTAAACTTAATATCGACCTATAATATTATCTCGTATTTTCCATTTCCGACGAAAGATAACAAACAAGTGTTATTTGTTCACGAATAACTTGAGGGTTGTCTGTAGTTATTCTGTCAACAATAAATAAATCGTGTATTCATACATAATATTCGCAAGCGTAACCTTAGAGATATGTCGCTATAATGGCATCATTGTTTAGCATTCACGTAAAATCGAATTATTCCAACTTTGAATATCTGCGGAATAGTCAATGTTGTTTTTGCTTACCTACGTGTTCAGCTTGTGCGGAAATATGTGATATATCTGCACAACTGAAAACGTAATAAGTGAGAAACGTCATTGACTATTCCTCGGATGTTCGTACAGATGTACTCTTACATACATTCAACGATTTTTGAAGAGAATAAATGCGTATATAAAGACTATTTGGAAGTATTGAAGAACAGAAATGTTTAAGCGAAAATCCGATAAAGCGATAAACAGTTCTATCTAGAAAACATTGCCAACATTAAATTACTTAGTGATAATAACGCAAATATTAAAAAGAAATTTAAAGAAACATGGCGTAGAATTATATATATATTATTATTTAAATTTGAACTTTATTTTGGGGGAAAATAAAGTTTAGAAATTTTTAAATCTTCACTACAGATCATAATTCTAATCGCATAAATCATTTATCAAAACAAATTGCTTAAAAAAAGAAAAAATTCGATTTTTTAAATTCTTTTGTATAAAAAATCTTTTTGCTTAAACGATTGAAATCTCTCTTACAGGGATTTTTAATAATATATTTTAACACTAAATATTTTTCAAAATATAAAAGGATTAAAATGTTTCAGCTGCTTCTGATCTTTGTATTTTTTATGCTAGAAAAATTCTAGCGAAAAATCGATTGTACGTGTTGTACTGAAGATTGTGTCTGTGTCATTTCTTTCCGTGATATATCTAATAGTTTTCGAGATGTAACTGACTCTTTTTATTTGTAATAATTAATATTTCTAGTCCTATCTTATAATTTGTAATCAAATATAATAAAATGAAGGTTTTCTTGATATAAATTCCTCGTTTATTTAATGATTATTTTAAAATCTTACTTCATATCGAATTTGAAAATGATAAATCTATCTTATCTGGTAATTTCGCAGAGAAATATAGACTACTCGACCCCCCTATAACACTGTTGATTATTCCGTTTTATACGAATTCCATGTTGTACGAGTCACTTAGATTTTACAAATATGGTGTGCCGGGCTGTAAACAACTCATGTATTTGTAAAATTGAAAT